CGTCAGACCATTCCGTCCTCTCCTGCCTACGGCCTTGGGAACTCAGAATTCCAAGCACAGCTCTGCAGCCTGGTCCATTCCTCCAGGCTGTCAGACCAGTGCCCACACTATTTGCTGTTTGTGTTCTAGAATAACCTCTGAGAACGTGGCTGAGCGGTTTGGCATTTCACGGGAGAAGCAGGATACTTTTGCCCTGGCATCCCAGCAGAAGTGAGTACTGCTTGGAGAGGACTGTTTAAAGGGCTGGGCAGTGAGGTTTGGAGCCTGTCTAAGTGATCTGAAGTGGAGCCCTTCTGTGCTTACAGCTGGGCAGCAAGTGCTTTCCAAGCCTCGGGCCTCCCAGGTTGGGGGCGGGAAGTGGGAAGTGTCAGGGCCACTGTGAGTTGGTAACACTTCCAGGTTCTATTCCAGGTCTGTTCACCCTGACTCTTTGCCCTAGTGAGGCCTCAGTTTTCCCGTGTGTTCTTTTCTGGCTGTGGTTTGGAGATTGGACATGGTAGCCTGGAGTGTGGGGCCAGCAATGCTAGGGACCCTGGCATCCTAGCTTCTGGACCATGCTGGGTCTGTGGCAGCATCCTATGGCAAGAACTGGGGATGATATCAGGGAAACCCCAGGGGCTCAGGCAGGCTAAGATTGGCGCAGGTCCCGGCTGTCCAGAGAGGACAGCAAAAGCAGGGGATGGTATCTGGGCCAGGTGTGCTTCTCTGAAGCAGTGATTCTTGGCCGCTTGGGGTCACATAACCATTTAAAAATGTGTCAGAAGCCTTGGATTCCTTCCACTGGAATGTCCCTGGGCACTTATATGCTGCACATGATTTCAAGGGTCACTCAAATACCTTGTGCTTTAAAACTCTTTCAATACAAAAATACATTGAATAGTTTAGTATATGTCACTTTAAATATATGGAAACTGGGGAATAGATGACTTTGAACTGTTGGGTTTGAACAGAAAAGTTGGCAGAACCCAGCACAAATATTTCTGGGGTTCCACCCTCAGTTTAGCAGAGAGAACGGAGCAGGCTTAGTCCCTCTTGGACAAAGGGCTGTAAGTGGGGGCACCCCTCCAAACACCCTTCTCCCCTTTGAGGTTGGGATTGGCCACGATCTGGAGGTCTGGGGTTGAGGATGAAGAAGGCCCTGTAAGGTCTTGGCCATGCCCTCAGAGCTCCCCTAAAGTTGAGCATGTCCCCGAATTTAGCAGCCTAAGCTTGCGTCTACCCAAATGGATAGGTGTTGGGGGCAGGGAGGAAGGGAACCCCAAGGGAGCCTGAGTCTGGCTGTCCATGGTGCTGGCAGGGCAGCAAGAGCCCAGAGCAAGGGCTGTTTCCAAGCTGAGATTGTGCCTGTGACCACCATGGTCCATGATGACAAGGGCACCAAGAGGAGCATCACTGTGACCCAGGATGAGGGTATCCGCCCCAGCACCACCATGGAGGGGCTGGCCAAACTGAAGCCTGCCTTCAAGAAGGACGGTTCTACCACAGCTGGTGAGACTGGTCCGGGGTGGGGGTATGAGGAAGGAGGCCATGGCCATGCTGGGTGCTGTACTCTGGGAGCCTGGAATAGACCAGGCCCCTCTGCAGACAGAGTAGATGTGGGAGGGCTGGGATCTCCTCGGCCCCACTCTGATCCCTTACCCCAACAATTTGACCCTAGGAAACTCTAGCCAGGTGAGTGATGGGGCAGCTGCCATCTTGCTGGCCCGGAGGTCCAAGGCAGAAGAGTTGGGCCTTCCCATCCTTGGGGTCCTGAGGTCCTATGCAGTGGTTGGGGTCCCACCTGACATCATGGGCATCGGACCTGCCTATGCCATTCCGGTAGCTTTGCAAAAAGCAGGTAAGGTGGTTCCTTCACATCGCTGTCTGGGTCCCGCCTGGATCCGGCACCTGCCCTGCATGCTGTTGCCAGGGGCATGGGGGTGGTCCTGTGGGTGCTGCAGAATGGAGGTGGGCAGGCTAGTGTCCCTTACTCAAAGCCCATCCTGACCCCACAGCTGGGATTGGCTCACCCTTCTGGAAGAGACACACACCAGGTAGCCTGAAGGCCCATGGATGGGGCAGGCCCAGGGAACACAGAGTCCTGGTACAGGGCCAGTGTGTCAGGTCAGGTCTTTACCTTGCCTGCAGGGCTGACTGTGGCTGACGTGGACATCTTTGAGATCAACGAGGCCTTTGCGAGCCAGGTGAGCTGTTGTTCTCCATGTTGCCTTGGCCCTGGACAGTCCAGGTGGAGCAAGCGGGCAGGTGGTGCAGGGGAGGGGGCAAGAGGGCTGCGGTGATGACCTGCCTCCTTCCAGGCTGCCTACTGTGTGGAGAAGCTACGACTCCCACCTGAGAAGGTGAACCCTCTGGGGGGTGCAGTGGCCTTGGGACACCCACTGGGCTGCACTGGGGCACGACAGGTCATCACGCTGTTCAACGAGCTGAAGCGCCGTGGGAAGAGGTAAGGCTGGCTCCTGGTGGGGGGTTGTGGGGGGATACCCAAGTTGGGGCACCTGCAGGGTAGGGGATAGAGGTAGGTGGGCTTTGGATCATCATCCCAACAGACACAGTCCTGAGCACCATAATCCCAAATGCTGAAATCCCAAATGTTGAAATCCAAAAGATCAAAGTCCCTAAGGTCTTGGCTGGTCCAAAGGTAGTGTGTTATCTTGATTGTTCAATTACAGATCAAACTCCTTGTTCTTACTCTGAGTACTTCTTACTTCTACCCTTGACTAGTCAAGGGGAAAAAAAAATCCCTAATGACTAAAATCCCCAAAGTCACAATATCAGAAGATTAAAATCCTGAATGTTGAAATCCTATTGTTGAATTCATGCTATGAATTCTAGGGAAGGGATGAGTACATTTTCCATCGCATGCAGGATAGTGCATCGTCACCGTGTTACATGGTGTAACTCATGTGATGCAACCATTACCTCGTTACTGCCTTTATTTGGAAATTAAGTATGGTTTAAGGAGTTGTGAGTGCTGCTAAGTTGAAAAGGAATGGACTTAACTTTGGGAACACCTAGAAACCTGACCGAGTATTATTTTGAGTGTGTCTGAGGGTGTTTGTAGAGGAGGTTAGGATGCATTTGAGTGGACCAGGTGGGGAAGATCCGCCCTTAGTGTTGGCAGGCACCATCTAACTGCCTGGGGCCCTGGAGAGAACCAATACAGAGGTGGGACACACTTTTTTTTCTGCCTTTGACATCAGAAGTTTGATTCCATGAAAGTGCCTTATCACACTGACTTTGTAAGCTTTGTGCATGTACATAAAAATGTTGAAACTTCCTCAGTAAATGAAGAGGTGTCCTGTTTGTGTACCTGCATTTGTGAAAGATAAAATTTCTCAAGATCTTGGTTCTTCGGGTCACTGCATATGCGGTGGTGACCCATCACAGGTTTGTTTGTTCGTTGAGACAGTCTCATTCTGTCACCCAGGCTAAAGTGCAGTGGTTCCATCTCGGCTCACTGCAACCTTTGCTTCCCTGGCTCCAGCAATCCTCCCACGAGTAGCTGAGACTGTAGGTTCGTGCCACTACACCCAGCTAAGTTTTTGTAGAGAGCATTTCATTATGTTGCCCAGGCTGGTCTCGAATTCCTGGGTTCAAGTGATCCTCCCACCTTGGCCTCCCAAAGTGCTGGGATTACAGGTGTGAGCCACAGGGCCTGGCTCCATCACAGTTTTTGATCAGTCTCATCAAAAGACATAGGTTCTCTATCATGGTGTTCATATGACTGCAGTTATGAAGCTGGGTGCACACGATTACCCACCATTTACAGAGTTTGCTTTTTAACCCATTTATGAATACGGTTTGTTTATAACTGTTATACTCCTGTGACTATTGTTAGCATACCTGAGTGTTTATGCTTGCTAAAATATGTAATTGTTACCTATTGTGTTGTGTAAAGTAGCCTGGGAAGTGTTCTCTGTTCGTTTCTCAAATAAATCCCCTTTAAAAAATGTACATATATGTATATTTTTGACATGGAGTCTCACTCCGGTGTCCAGGCTGGAGTGCAGTGGCGTGATCTTGGCTTACTACAACCTTTGCTTTTTGGGTTCAAGCAATTTTCCTGCCTCAGCCTCTCAAGTATGTGGGATTACAGGCATCTGCCAACACGCCCAGCTAATTTTAGTATTTTTAGTGGAGACAAGGTTTCACCATGTTAGCCATGCTGGTCTCAAACTCCTGACCTTAAGTGATCTGCCCTTCTCAGCCTCCCAAAGTGTTGGGATTACAGGCTTGAGCCACTGCGCCTGGCCTAAAAATGTAAATATCTTTTAAATGAATCTTTTTAAAAAGTCTTTTTCTAAGATGGGGTCTTGCTGTATTGCTCAGGCTGGTCTTGACCTCCTAGGCACGAGTGATCCTCTTGCCACAGCCTGCTGAATAGCTGGGACTACAAGTAGATGCCACTATGCCAGGTTTCCACATTGTTTTTTCCAGAATTGTATTTTCAGGATTTTGATCTTTTAAGATTGTGATTTTCAGGATTTTAGACTTTAGGGATTTTGTTCTTTTAGGATTTCAACATTTGGGATTATGATGTTTGGGACTGTGTCTTTTGGGATTATGAGCGGTCCCTAGGGAAGGGAATATGCACACACAAACACCCTGAACTGAGGATGCAGGGGCATGATCTCTGTTTTCCCTGAGGACCAGCCCTAAAAGGGACACTAGCTGCAGTTGGCATCTGCCACTGTGTATGTGCCCACAGATCTGGTCTGACGGTTTTGTGTCCTACTCGTCGTGAAGTCCGTCTGGCTCAGCCTGGTCTGGAGATAGCTGGGTGGTGCCTCTGCCCAGCCAGTTCCGTTTTGTTTTCACAGGGCATATGGAGTAGTGTCCATGTGCATCGGGACTGGAATGGGAGCTGCTGCTGTCTTTGAATACCCTGGGAACTGAGTGAGGCCCAGGCTGGAGGCGCCGCCCACACAGACCTGCTCTAGCAGCAAGGCAGCAGCACTGCAGAAGCAGAACCGCACGGGAAAACTCAGCACTGGTGGTGGTGGCGGCGGACAGATCAAGGCACTTCAACTCGTTTGGAAAATGTGAACACGGCTGACATGGTCTAGGAGTGGGTGGGGTGTTGAGCCACCCATCAGACCCTCGTTAGCTGTGCAAGACAAAGGCAGCCTAGGTCACCCAGGCCACAAGGCCACGGTTAATTCCCAGGGCAAGGCGAATTCATGGATGAGAAGCGCAACAGACATAGTAAATGTGCAAGAATTTATCTTAGTGGCTGTGGTTTTTTCCCAAGGGGAATTCTGCCATACTGGTCTTCGCTGTGCAGTGTGTGTGGTGATTCTCAGTGCAGTGGTCTCTACTGTGGTGTGGCTCTGAGCCAACATGAAGGCCTAGGCTGAGACCATTGTGGAAGGGGGTTCTTCTTCCATTCTAGGAGCTGTTCAGAGGGCCTCAAGTCTGTGTCTTTGTGCTGAAGGTCTGCTCCTAATCCCTGGCAACGTTTATTCTGCAGCTGGGGCCTGGGGTTGAGGGCTGGGGAGGCGTCATGTATCTCTCATCATAAGAGCCCTGGCCCCGGAGCCGCAGGGTGCAGGACTTCTCGCCAAGCACACCCTCCACCACCACTGTGGACTCGTACAGCTCATTGCTGCTGTGGGGAGCATGTGCGGGTTGCGGTTAGGAGGGGTCTGGGCAGCGGGGGCCAGGCCCTGTGGGCAGCTTGGGGGAGGTTGGGAGGGGCTGTACCTGGCAGTGAAGAAAACCTGCAAGGCAATGGAGGTTGGGGGGGGCATTGGTGGATCGTGCTTCCAGCAGCCCACTGTTTGGGGTGACCCTGAAGGCCACAGCGGCCTTGGCTGGCTCCTGCTGGCCTGCACGAAAGGGAAGGGAAGACATGAGTGCAGGCAGTCCCGTGTACCACTACAGGAAGACTTCGCCCACCCGCAGGCCTGCACCTCTGGTCTTGCTCAGAACTGCAGGGCAGGGCAGCCCTGAGATCATGTGGGATTGGGGGACTGGCTGTTCTGCAGAAACCACGTGGTACCAGCCCTGGGGGCCAGCATGCAGGGACAGGCACAGCGGCCCTTTCCTGGGGGTCTTTTCTTGGCACAGCCCTGTAGGGGAACAGTGGGTAGGTGGGAGGGTAGGACATACCCATCAGCATAGTCCAGTAGCTTCGGCAGCCGCTCAGGTTCATCAGGTAGACCTCCCGGACTCGCTGCTGGCTCACAAAGCAGGTCCCAAAGTCCACCCAGCTGGTGGAGAGCTGCAGCTCAGGCACGGCCACCACGGCCCGCAGGGGCACTGCCTGTGGGGGCCCAGACCGCCTTGTTCACTCTGGGTGAGCCTAAGCCAGGGCCTCTGGGACGCAGGGAACCCTGCTGACCCCAAGTGCTCATGCTCCTGAGGAGGGCAGGGGAAGTGCCCAGCAATTGGCAAGGGGCCAGTGCCAACTTCAAAGGCCAGGGGCTGGAGTCTGCGCAGGGAAAGGGCCAGGGTAATGCCATGCATTTCCCCGCTATCCCTGCCTCCCTCCCTCATAAAGCTCCAGGCCCTGCACTCTGGCTGGTAGGGCTGCCCTCCTTCACCCATCCTCCTATGGTGGCCCCGAGACCCAGCCCTCAGCTCTTCTCAGGCCCTGGACCATCTGTCTGTGTCCCGTGACCTCAGGCCCTACCTGTGCCCTGCTCTACCTCCTGGCTGCCCCGTACCACACTCAGGCGATGCTATGCACTGTCCCACTGCCTCGGCCCCAGCAGCTGCCTAGGTGCCACGCTGGGGCACCTCGGCTCCACTGCTCAGCCACCTGCCCCCGCCTCTCCCAAGTCCTCCCCAGGCCACTCCTTCACACTCCTCACTAGAAGCCCCAGCTTAGCGTCTGCACCACGGCCCGGTGACCTTCTGCTCTGTGGTGCTTGTCCTGGTGCTTGAAGCCTGACAAAGCCCAGGGCTGTCCCTGGCAGCTGCCTCAGGTTCTCACTGCCCCCACCCATCAGGCCATTCTTTTGGCCTGGTCGTCAAGGTGTTTCCCTTCCTTGATTAAACGGTGTACAGGTTTCACATGCCACCTCCTGCAGGGAGCCTTCCCTGATTTCCCACACTCTGGCCCCTCATCTGGCTTTGGGCTCATGAGGCAGAGGAGGGTGGATGGCCTTCATCTCTCTGCACACAGGGCCTCTTCTAGGGGAGACTGAGCCCCAGGAAAGGAGTGGGGGCTCCTTATGTCTGAGGTCCCTGCTAGGTCTTTCCTCCTCTGGCCCCAGCAGAACAGAGCCCAGCCCGCTTCCGCCTTCCCACACGTGGGCGGGCCTGGGGCATGCCTGAGTGGTCTGGGTGGTGTACTCCAGGAGCAGGTTCTGCGTAAACACCATCTCTCTCTCTCCACTCGCGCTCTGCTGAATGTCCACCCCAGGCAGCATCTGGTCAGCCGGGAGCTTCTGATAGGAGAGCAGCTCCAGGGAGAGCGTGAAGGACACGTTCACCTGAGCAGATGCAGACATGGTATCATCTCCAGCTGCAGAGGGCAGGTGGCTGCTTACCCACCTGGAGCTCCGTCCTCCTTCCCTCCTGGGCCCAGCCCTGCTCAGCCAACAGCCCAGCAGCTCCCCCACCTGGTGCTTGCATTCCGCAAGCACTGCCCAGCACCTACTCTGCCCAGCACCCTGCTAGTGCCAGGGACAAGGCATGTCTGCCCTCAGGAGTCATAGGCTAGAGGGGAAGGGACATGAGCAAGCCGCCCTTTACCCCTTCAGATGCTCAGGGCTGTGGGTGGGCTCAACAGCTGAGGAAGGACTTGGTCTGTGTGCTGAGGACAGTCAGGAGCCTCTGACAGGTCACTGACCAGGCAGGGAGCATGAGAGGATGCCGGCCCAGGGGCTGAGGCTGTAGCTGAGGCTGGACAGGATGGAGCTGGGACTCCTGGCTCCCAGCACAGGTCCTCGGTACAAGCTTATCAGAATCGACTGAGGCACTTGTTAAAAATACAAATTCTTGGCCTCACCCAGACCTTCACACCTGTGGAGGTGGCGTCTGGGAGCTTCTGCCTTCAACAAGCTTTGTCAACGGCACTAATTTGCTGGGAGCAGTGGCTCACATCTGTAATTCCAGCACTTTGGGAGGCGGAGGTGGGAGGATCGCTTGAGCCTAGTTCAACACCAGCCTGGGGAATATAATGAGACCTTGTCTCTACAAATAATATAAAAATTAGCTGGGTGTGGTGGCATGTGCCTGTGGTCCCAGCTACTTGGGCGGCTAAGGTGAGAGGATTGCTTGAGCGCCCAGGCAGTCAAGGTTTCAGTGAACCACGATCATCCCACTGCACTCCAGCCTGGGTGACACAGCAAGACCCGATCTATCTAAAAAAGAAAAAGCCACTGATTGACTGCCAGGGTTAGAACCACTGTCCTAGACCAAGACCTGGGTGTAGGGATGAAGAAAGAACGGCACTGAGAGGAATGTGGGGGGGCACCCACAGGGCCTGCTGGCCTGGTCACAGAGAAACTGGTCTATGACAAGGCATGCCAGGGGTCTGAGCATGGGCAAGGGGGTTGGGGTGGTATTTGCTGAGATGAAATGCCACCACAAAAAGGAGGCACAGGTGTGGGGCAGGACAAGCTGGGGGCGCTGAGTTCACTTTGGATGAGAGGAGTTTGGCTCTAGAGCCTGGGAGGGAGGATTCTAGCCAGATGCCAGAAACCTGGGCATCGTTAGCACATGGAGGGTGAGATGCGGCACCATTATGCGGTGTCCTTTTTCTGGGACCTTTGGGCTTCCCCAGAGCTGCTAAGGACTTTTAATGCCTGGTAGCTAACCGTCATGTGTCCTGGGAGGCTCTGGTGCAACGGAACCTCTGGCTGTGCTCTGGGCCTTCCCCTCCATTTAGCTCGCTGAAGGGAGCAAATGCAAAGTGGGTCAAGGGTGCCCATCTGCCTTCTGCAGATCCATATGTCTCCCCGACCTCCATGGTGAGGTTCTCGGGGAGTTCCATCACCTAGTGCAGCATCTGGTGCACAGCAGGCCCTCACTACACATTGGATAGAGAGAATATGGCTGTCCACTGAGGCTCTGGAAATGGATGAGACGACCCAGAAATGGGCAGAGGGAGGCTAGGGCCTGGCAGAGCTCAAGGGAGCACAGCATAACATAAAGGGAAGCCCTCCAAGGAGAGGAAGAAAGAGAGCCTCTGAAGCAGGAGGGGAAGTAGGAGACAGGTGAGGCACCCTGCCAGGCTGTCTACCCTCGGCCTGCCCCTGTGCACCCTGGGAGCCCGCTGCGCAGATATGGGTGTGCACACACTCAGCCTTCATTCCAGTTGCTTCAGAGAAGTGGATGGTTTCCACTGAGTTCCTGGCATTCCCAAGACCTTCCCGACCCCACCAACTCTGAAAATCCGGGATCCAATTATGACTGATAATTTGTCAGAAGAGGGAAAATGACATTAGAACCTGGAGTGCTTTACAATTATGGCAACCCCATGGGCTCCCCTGAGCTGGGACGAAACCCTGAGCTTGCTCAGGAGGAGGAGGGTGTCTGTGTGGGAAAGGGAGGTGCTCACAGGAATGCACCAGCCTCTGCCAGCATCTCAGCAGTGGGAACCAGGAGGGAAAGGGAAGTCTGGGGACATTTCTGGAGCACGTGCACGCATGTGCGTGTACACGACGTCTGGCATGTCCGTGCCTGTGTAAGCCTCTTGTGCAGAGGTGCTGAATGTGGTGTCTCTGGTGGGAGTGTTCACACAGGGTATGGCAGGGTCAGGTGTGCAGTCTGTGTCCGGGCACAAACACGTGAGGGTGGCGTGCAGGGGTGCTGTCTGTACGCACGTGCGGGTGTGCTGTTGAGGCGAAGGCCACAGATCCCCCACTGACCAGCATGTTCTCCTGTGCTCGGAGCACCAGCTGCTTGCCCGCTGAGGCTGCCTCCTCCTCACACTCCTGCTTCTGGCCAGGGCCAGGAGCTCTGTGGACCCGGCTCGCCCCATCTTGAGAAACGGAGAAGGGCCTGGAGACCAGGAGCCGGAAGTGGTGTGGGATCTCCGTGGTGTTGGTCAGCTTCAGGTGATGGGTAGTCACCAGCTCACTCAGCACCTGGGCAGCCACAGAGGCAGCAGGCAGGGGCTGTGTCTCTTCTCTCTCTTCAAGCCCATGGTTCTAGGGGAGGGCTGGGAGGGCTGGCGGACGGACTGACTCAGACTGTAAGGCCCGAGTCCCAGAAGGGCACACAGAGACAGCTGAGGCCCAGGTAAGCTGGCAGGGCCAGAGGGTGGCAGCA